TTTATATGTTACAGAATATATGAATATCTCTCTCTGCTGGCGCTAAACAAGTTCTGACCACAGTACACGACTCCCTCTGCGATCTGCAATGAGCTGATCCTGATGATCCAGTGAAGGGTCATGGCACCAGTGTAAAGGGAGGTGATACCAGAGAGCTTGCATTGAAGGGACATTGATATCCGTTTTAAGGTTATGTTTGCTGCAACTGCCCATAGCTCTACAGCAAAGTACAAAGCACTGCTGGGGGTTGACTACATGCACATTTGCTCACAAAAATGAAATAAAGTAAAAATATGCAGCTTAGCTAGTACATTTAGTTAGATGTGTATAGTGGACGAGCTGTACAGCGAGATAGGATTATATAACAGAGGAAACGCAGCGATCCACGCTCATATTTGCGTGATGTTTATGTGTAGATATGGCCGTGTGGTTGGTGAGGCACAGAGAACCTGTTAATGTGATTGTTTTTCCTCTGGTTTTATATTTAGCTTTTTTCATTTAATAGTCTATTCAGGGGATTATAACTTGATGTAGTGGTTATTTATTTACAATGATGGTTAATGCTTTGTAGCTAAGCCAGTTATAGCATTCCTTAATCCGTGTAGATATTCATGATAGATTAACTTTAGCACCTTACTACATGAAGCTAAAGTCAGCTTCTTATTTGCCAGCTTCTTGTTCAGATTTTCCTGTTCCACCTTAAATGGTGCATCAGCCATCTTCTTGTTCGAATTTACCCTTAAATGGTGCACCGTCAGGCACCAGAAAGTGACTACTGCACCATTTAAGGTGGAATGGGAACATTCGAACAAGAAACTGGCAACTTGGAAACAAACTTCAGCCTTGTCCTTTTTACAAAATTGTGAGATTATGTTCCGGAGCTAAACTCGGTTTTTAACGTCAAGTGCAGACTGAATAATTTCCTACTGGTCCGGCTAATTAGCACAATCACAGTTATTAAAGACATAAAAGCTACCGACAGCAGTTTGCACAACCTGGATTAATTTATGTCTGAGGATTATAGCAAAGATTTGGTGAAAATTGGATGATTATTAAGGAAGTTGTGGTCCATTAAATTCTGCGAACTCATCATGTCTCAATACAAGTGAATTTGTTCACAAGCGGATTTTGACCGCTCCAACATGGCGGACGCACAGACATATCGCCTCAGAGAGAGAACAACAGGCGGCGGGCGGCAAAAACCACTGCCATCTACATAGAATATTGCCCGCAGTTCCGTCGGGATATATGGAATACTTATCAGTACTTATCAAAAACGCAGCGCTTAAGTGCTATGGCTGTTATCACAGATAATGCTTGCAACAATTAATCTCAGAGGTACATATATCTTTCTAAAATATCAATTTATTTACAGAGCCTTTTCAACACGACTCACCTCCAGCAAAGAACAAAGCGCTGCTGCGGGGTAAGGGGAAGCGTATGTATTTAAATATGCAAGCATATGTAACAACAAAGGAGTTCTCATGAACAATAATTTTGGAAGAATTCACACAAATAAGGGCTACTCGTATTATTATTAATTGTTGTTTTTTTTTAACTCTGTTACACAAGGCAGAGTTAACAACGCTATGCAACTGGACGAAGGCCATGGGATTGGGGTGAGAAAACACAATGAAGAGGTGCTCAATGCAATGAAGCTGAATAATTAAAGTCGAAAAGCCAGATAACTCTGTTGTAATCAGGGACACTGGCTTCTCAGGAGGCAAAAGCACATTTCTTAGATCTTCATTATCAATCAGTGTCAGTCGTGTGTTAAATGATGTCATCATTCGTGACAAAAAACAGCACAAATGAATGAGACTGTTTTGGTGTGTTTGGACGTTGATGGGGAACTGAGTGACGGCATTCATTTAAGAAATGCTTTAGTCTATAAATTGACATTTACTTAAACACCACAAAAAGGCAGAAATGCAGCAGAAGCGAATGAGACTTTTGACGCAAGTGAGAACTATTTTGGGGAGATAGGGGGCATTATTGTTTAATAACTTACAAATTAAGAGAGCACAAACATTTCTTTTAACGTTAGGAAAAAAAAGCACAAATAAATGAGACCATTTTGGCGCGAGTTGGACGTCGATGGGGACTGAGTGACGTCACACGTCAATCCTTATTGCTTTATAACTTGAGAATTAAAATAGCACAAACGTTTCTTTTAACAGCACAAACCAGCAAAAACAGATGAGACCGTTTTAGACATTAAGAGTGCAGTTTAGACATTAATGGGGGGCTGAGTGACAGCACAGGTAATAAAATACAGTATAATGTTTAATTTCGCAAAAACACTGCCAGCACAAATGATGATTCCTACAGCACAAATGATGATTCCTACAGCACAAACGCAGCACAAACGAATAGCTTTTGGAGCGTGTCATTAAAACACAAGCAAATTAAAGTGCAAAGAAGGAAATGGATGTTCTGAGACCCTAAGCAGCCTAAAATTGTCATGTACATAATACTATCCCAGACTTTATTCGTTTTGTCATCAACCGTTATATCTTCCGTTCCATGTGCATTTATGTTGAATCTTGTGCGTGACTGTAGACGTGACACAAAATGTTACTGGTTCACATCAATAATATGATTGGTTTCCAGTTGACACATTTGCATAAAGTTTGTCCGGAACAACAGAACATCATCAGTAGTTTGATGTATTACATGTGTATATTTCTTCTCTCACTGTTTTACAGCATACTATGATGCGTTTTGTTTGATGTAAATTATCAATGAAAAAAAGTCAAATAATTTTGCATGACGTCATGCCACATATATGCGGCCTAATATTTTAGCAACTTAAAACACCTTCCCACAACCTTGCATACACATATATACTACTCAGTCTGGTCCCATATGTTTAACGTTAAGGCTAACGTTAAACGTATATGGACCTTAAGTAGAAAATTCATATTTTTAATGCCATTTTCCAAGGTTGGACTTCTGGAATACCAATAAAGCCGTTGTCGAGACTTGGAGTTCTTATGTCTGCCACACACACACCACTTGATTTTGCCCTTTATGGAGAATGAGTGGAATCTAAATCAACACTGTCTGCTGCATCACATGTGAGGAGATGATTTTCACTGTAGTATGCAAGGTTTTGCATATGAAAGGTATTTCCCTTAATTGGAAACACATTTGGTTTACAATATAGCAAGCCAGCTATAGAACTACTACTGCAGAGATGTTATTTTCTTCATAATAACACCACTACACTACCTTTATAGCCCACAAGATGGGTGCCACACCCAGCAGTTAATTCACTGCATACACACACATACACACACACATGCAGCAAATGCAGCAGAGCAGAAATTAGTCACCTCAATATCAGCAGAGCAGACTATCATTACCTACAGACCCACAGCAAAAGAGTGCATGTGTGTACATTTGTCTACACTGTTAAAAATTCTTGGACATTCACTCTAAACATACTTTTAGTGGTGACAAGCAGATCTGGTTTAGTCAAATAATTTCTTTGACCTAAAGCAAAATAACAACTCAGATGAGCAAGGGCAATGTTCATCAATCCAAAAACCACTACAAATCTTTGCATTTTTTATAAATAAATGTATGTATGTATGCATGTAGAAATCTGACTGTACAATATGAATGAGGTCAAGCAGAAGTGTGCTCTCCAGGATACTCCCTGTGCTGCCTGCATAAGCTATATTTGGCCTACGATCACATTGCAGCATTCAGTGGGGTGAGATCACTTCATAGGGACATGTGTGTATCACACATAACAGAGCAGCTATAGAGCTAACAACATAACTGCATCAAAACCACACTGATTTCTAAAAAGGTTTTTGTGCATTTTCTAATTACACAAAAACTTTTACTTGTTGGCTATTTACACACACACACACACACACACACACACACAAACACACTACCAGGTTGTGCTGCAATGAAATTACATTGCACTATTGTGTACACACACACACACACACACACACACACACACACACACACACCATACATGCTAACAATATTAGCATTAACTACCTAGTTAACAAATAAATAAATATTACATGTCTCAGTGTGTTTTCTGCTTTCTTCTTTTACATGTCTTTATTGCAGCTGAACTGATGAAAATCCATTCATTTCTCATTCTGCTCTTTGTGACAAAGCATGACTGTGAAATCTAACGACTGTGAAAAATGACTGTGACTGCTAAGACTTGTGACAGAGCTGTCTCAACTAGCTTTGGTGTAATCTCAGGGTTCAAAATCTATCACACTTGCACTTTTTATGCACCAGAAACTCTTCCCCTTCTATTAAGTCCTGTCTGTTTAGGTACTGACCTAACAGTAAAGCCATAGTTTCACATTGTGATCACCTTGATCAAACGCCTCTAAAATGTTGCTGTTGTCATGTTATGATTGGAAAACTTAATCCTACTTTAAGTTCAGGCTATTCTCTACTCCTGTGATCCATCAAAAGTATTCATCTTTCCAACTAGTATGTAATTGGTCCTGTCACTAGAGACACTGACAAGTACAGACATAATTTTATCAAAAAAAATTGAGCCCCCACCCATACACTGCCAAAATAACTAGACTTTGTAGTCTACATCAGTGTTTCTCAACCCTGGTCATGGAGACCCACTGCCCTGCACATTTTAGTGCTGTCCTTGTTTCAGTGCGGCCACTTCAACTTAGTAAGGGCTTCATGATAGGCTGATTATTTAAATCATGTGTGTTGGGAGCAGGGAAAACACTAAAAAGTGTAGGGCAGTATGGGCAGTGGGCCAACAGGACCAGGGTTGAGAAACACTCTTCTACATCATCCAACACAAAACTGCAAATAAGCCAGTGTTTCCTCTAGGACTTTTTTCAGCAGTGGGAGCAGGCCCACACTATGCACCCCTCGCAAACACATGCACACACATCCCCCGGCTCACACCACCGTGGTGGAGGGCTGCCGCTGCAAAATGTATATGGCAGAAACACTGTATGCTTCTGTTAAAAAAAACAACTCACCTGACAATCAAAGTCTTGGAAGTTCCGAGAATTCTGCAAAAGAAACATTTGGGGAAAGATTAAGTTATTTGACAATTCCTTGGTATATACTTTCACTGGCCATTTTGTCTACTCTTCTACTCTTTGCCACTAGGTGGAGTGAGAGGTAAGTAAAACTTGACAAGTCTCTTAAATGCAGTTTTATGCCATTGCTTAAGCACGATTTTGAAAACAGGGCTCATTTTGTCCAAACACTACACATAATTTACACAGCCACACACACAAGCAGCAGAACACCTCAGGTCTTTTGCAAAATGAAACATTTCATTCAAAACTGTATGAAAATTGATGAAAACCAAAATTTTTTCACCATATGGAGCATATAGAGTTCATACAATCTGATTCTGTTTAAACCAGTTACACACTGCTGTGGTCAATCTAAAACACCTTTAACATTTCTGCTTTTCTAGTGATATAGTCAGGGCTTGATTTTATTCAGAGATATTGAGTAAATACACAAATAACCAAACACAACACACAAAACCAGTACTGTACACTGACAGTGTTGGGCAAAATACATTGTCAAAGTAGTGATAGCTGAATACACTGTCATAAATGTATTTAGTAATTTATTCTTTTACAATACATACAAAAACTAACATATTCAGAATACATTTAAAATGCATTTAGAATACATATTCATAAATCACAATGGCAAAAACTTGGTATTTATTTCTCTCTCTCTCTCTCTCTCTCTCTCTCTCTCTCTACTTAATTAACATTGTTTCTTGTTGTCCTGTCCTGTAATCTTCATGGAAAATTCACTTATAAATTAAATGAAGATTAGAAATTCTTAACATCTTTCGAATTGTGAAAGCAGAGATTTCAGCTGGTTTCGCGTTTGGCCGCTGATAATAACGCCGTTTGCTTTAGTTTATGTGAAAATGAATACAGATGACCGTTCGGATGCAGTCTGTTCCTCCTGTGTGCTGGTGAAGTTCTCCTCTTTCTTTCTCCATTAAACTGGACATCGATGTAGTGTTTTTCCTGCTGTTTTTTGATCTGTGAATCTTTAAAATTTAATTGCGCTTGATTCTTATTGATTTCTGAGCTGATACGCTTCTTTTTATTTTATTTTACGTTATTAAAAATTAAAGTAGCGAAGTAAAAGTATTTCATTAAAAAATAACTCAAGTAAGAGTAAAAGTACTATGATTTAACTCTACTCCAAAAAGTACTGTTACAGGGAAAACTGTATTCAAGTTCAGTAACGAGATTAAATGTAATTCCTCTCTGTGGCTATAGTAACTCAGATAGAATTATTCAGTTTCATGAACAGAGTGCCAACATAGCTCTCTGCAACAACTGGCCATCTCAACCACATCTGTAATTCTCTGGATGTATGGAAAAAATGTATTGTGTACATGTGTGTTGCTGTAGGTATTTATTTATGTTAGTATATTTGTTTAGTTATGTATACATGTATACATAACTGTATACATGTATTGGAATACATATATGCATATACATGTCTTTCTACACTACTATATATATGTGTATCAGTTGGTATACTCTAGCAGCCTACATGAACATGAATGCATATGTATTTGTGTGATACGCAGAGAAGCATCTATGCTGATGAGTGAACTGGGGCTTATGTATAGGTGTATGCAGGGGTTGGGATTTATTTTACTTTGTGAGGCACATTACTTTCATGCCATTAATGTGGGAGCACAATGTTTGGTTGATGTATTACTTGGATTTCTTAGAACTGATTGTATAATTGTGATTAAAACTAGTTTGCATATTTATCTATACTTAGCTGGCAAAACAACAGATTTGTCACTAGAGATTCAAGGATAGGTGGGCTAAGCCTGTACTAGGTGGGTCTGGGGGCGTGGTCCCCCAGGCGAATTATTATTATTTTTTAATGACCCCAAAATGTTTGTCATGAACTTGTGTAGTAGGAACATCCAGAAAATGTATCAAAACTGGTTATTTGGTCAAATTGGCACACAGTAAATCTGTCTTTTTGTAGTTTTAATTAGGCACAGAGTTTGTATGATAAACACTGTGTCCATCCACTAACAGCAGACACAGATCAAGCAAAGGTACTGAAGTCAAGCTATGCAACCTCCTCTCACTCAGATAAGCTACAAGGTCCCAAACATATTATTTAATACTCATAAAAGATCAGCTCAGTCTCAGTTGGCGCAGTCAGAAAGAGTGTGATTTTGCTCCATTGGCATGTTTAATAAGCTAAGAAATGACAAACATTATATTTTTCCAGTTAGCTTCAATTAAATTCAGTATGAATTTTAAATGAAAGCTTAAACAACACACTCACTTTCTTCTTGATCACTAACACCCATTAAATCTGTTCCGTCAGCCCTGTCAGTCTGCTTCAGCTTCTTTCTCTCCCTCTCTTGCTGTGTTTAATAATACATTAATTTAATTAAACCCAGATTTACAAGAACTCAAGGAAATAATTGGAGATCAATCAATTCAAGTGAGGTTAAATAGTTGGCTTGTCTACTTACAGACAACCTGAACTAGTAACATACAATTATTTGGGACGTGGGGCTAAATAACAGGGAAGCAAATGCAATACAATAATAGTTATGTTACACAAGCAGGCTATCAAATAGAGCTGTACCAGTACACCCAGTGAAAAATTTGATTTTATTTATAATTTGGTTCACAATTCAATATTCTGAACAAAATCTGAATGAAGAAAAATAATGTATCGATGGTGTGACACAGCCTGTTAGAACTGGAAGACTAGAGCCCTATTTCGGAGCATGGCGTGTGTTGTATGACACTGAATATGATGCTTAACCTTTGGTGTCCAAACAGTGCAACTGCATTAGATGATAACATTAACTAGAAAAGAGAAAAAGTTGGCTTGAAAAGGCCAGCTAATTAAATTAAAACGTATAAATCGTGGAGGACTGATGGTTGTTAAAGTGTTGCTTAGATTTGGCTGAGTGGTTGCTATGGTATCCAAGGTATTTGGTAAGGTGTTGCTGGGTGCTTGCTAAGGTGTCCCAAGTTGTTGCTAAGGTGTTGCTAGGCGATTGCTATGCTATTAAATACAGTAGCACTGCCACCTTAAACCTACTGATTCCTTAAATTCACTGCCACCTTAAATCCACCGCCACCTTAAATTCACTGCCACCTTAAATTTACTGATACCTCAAAATTCCTGCCACCTTAAATCCACTGCTACCTTAAATTTACTGCCACCTTAAATTCACTGCCACCTTAAATTTACCAATATCTTAAATCACTGCCACTTTAAATCCACTGCCACCTAAAATCTACTACCACCTTAAATTTACTGGCACCTTAAATTTATTGGCACCTTAAATTCACTGCTACCTTAAATTTACTGATACTGTAAATAAACTGCCACCCTAAATTTACTAATTTACTGCCACCTTAAATTCACTGATGCCTTAAGTTGTCTACCACCTTAAATCTCCTGCTACCTTAAATTTCATTGCAAACCTAAATACACTGCTACCTTAGAACCACTGCTCCCTTAAATCCAATGCCTCCTTAATTCCACTGTTACCTTAAATAATTCAGTATATATATATATATATATATATATATATATATATATATATATATGTTGTGCATTTACTACATATGACAATGGTAGGGCTGTCTGATACTTTCCAAATATCTTTCTATACCTGTTCTACAAATGCCAGTAGACTACGTATTTCTCCTAGCACGCTTCGTTTGGTGAGCATGGGGTTGGCCCATCCGCGTTCATCTAACCAAGTTAGCAGTTAAAAAACACTCATTTCAATAACCAGCTGTGGGGCACGATCACGTTGGCCCAATACTGAGAGCAGCCAATAAAAAATTATAAATTTACATATGTCCGGAGGTTTAGTAAGCGTTGTTTATGGTATGGCCATTGCTACGAAGCTAGACATTGTTCTATCAGTTGTGGTAGCCACTCATAATAGCAAGGCAATATAATGAGTCAAGCTGAAAATATCATAAAAGTTAAAATTGGTTCCCTGTCTTTAGAGCAGAAATTAGAGATTAAACGTTCTGGACTACACCGGCCAGAGGATTTCAACATCATTCAGTCTGGAAAGGACAACAACTGCTCCTTCAATCAAGAGAGGTTTAAGAGAAAAACATGGCAAACTTTGAGTGTAGCTAAAAACACTCTTCTGCTTTCCTTGCCTGCCGTTGCTATGGTATCACTTGAATTCATTCATGGATTGGTGGACTTTGAGAGAAAAGTTTTTTGACTGAACTTTGCTCAAATTTTACCCAGCGTTATTCCTAATGCCTGGAAAGCAATGTGTTTCCCTGCTCTGATATGTGGCTGTGGACATATAGTTGCAGACCACAATGACCGTATACTGCTAGATAACTTTTGGAATTGTAATGCGATGCTGTATAACCAGGTTTTGTGAGATCTAATGTCATTGTCGTGTCACTCAAATTCCTGATTCCACTTCCACCAACTCCTGCACAACATTACGTTAATTTGTGAATTGTGATTTCATTGATGGAGTGCATTTGTGTTTGGATCAGGTTTGTGTGTAGTTTTATTGACGAGTCGGCTGCTGCCCCTACAATTTATTGTGCCCCACCAGGCTTTCTGTGCCAGAGACCCCACTGCTGCCACCTTAAATTTACTAATACATTAAATCTAGTGTCACCTTAAATTTACTTCCACCTTAAATGCACTGGTATTTTAAATTGTCCACTGCTTTAAATAAACTGCTACTTATGGTGTGTAGAAAGTGTTTGTGTGTGGTGTGTAGAGTGTGTGTGGTTTGTTTGTGGTGTGTGTTTGTGGTGTTTGTATGATGTGTGGTGTGTTTGTGATTTGTGTGTGTGTGGTCTTTTGTGTATGGTTTGTGTGTGGTGTTGTGTGTTTGTGGTGTGCGTGTTGTGTTGAGTGCGTAGTTGTCTGTGTATGTGGTGATTATATGTATGTGTTTATTTCCAAGCCAACTTATTTATGAAGAACAGTAAGTTGGCTTTTCCAAGCCTACTGAATAATAAATAACAAATAACACCCATCCTCACAATGCATGTTATAGTTTTGCATCACAATGTAATGTGACACAATGTACTGTTACACTCATAAAAATCTATTCGCATAAAAAAGCTTATTGTAAAAAGTTATGTTTGACCTAAAGGTATGGTTGACAATTTTGTCCTTCTATGTACACTAAGCTAGCTACCTACTAAACTGAAGTAGGGTACTTGAAGTAGGCTACTTGAAGCATAACTAATTAATTAGTTAATTACCAAGGAAGAAGAAACATCATAAATATAACAGAAAGATTGATAGCACACATTTAAGACTAAAAATTGGCAGAATGAGGGGATGAGGAGTCACTTCACAAAAGCTTATAGGCATACTGTGGCAAAAAAAAGAGTGTTGTCTGTCAGGTTTATCACATTGTTTAGTTAAACTGACTTAACAATGACTGTATTGGAAATTATTTGAATATCTATTGTACCGAAGCTCAGCTCTGATTGCTGTTCACATAAACTCAGGGTGCTGTAGCTTGGCTTCTATGTGCAGTCCAGTTTAACCACTAGTTGCATACAAAACTGTATACATGTGAGCATATGAGAAAGCTGGGTGGTAATAGCATTTATCCCACCTTGTTGGTCAGTAGGGGCTTGATCTCGGTCAGCTGAACGTCTTGTAGTTCATCCATCTCTGTGTCTGTCTCACTATGCAGACAGAAAGAAACAATCACTCTTATTTCACACAACAGCAAAAGTCACATATTTAGTAATCCTTATCTATCATTAAAAATACATCACTTAATTCTTGTTCACTTTTATTGAACACCACCAAACATAAGCATACTGTCTCCTATTGCAACATAAGTCAATAGAGAAAATCAGTACTGGACCCTTTCTGACAAAATATGGCTTGCTAATTATCCTTTTAGATAAAATCTATAATAGGGCAATTAAAAGTTATATGGGGATACATGTAGATGAGTACTCATTACATCTGCTGGCAACCTGACAAGAGAAAAGTACCATAGCCAAAGATACAAATTGTTGTTTGACAAAAAAGTGTTGTCCCTTTCACTGTGTTGTCCTATAAAGCTAAAGAAAGGGACAAACTAAAGTCCATGGCTACTAGATCAAAGAGCCAGTATCATGGAAAATCTATTTTACTTGCTTTTTAAAAAAAGAGAGCTCAATGTACTACGTAAACATTGTTAAAGTTTTAAAATGTACTATTTACTCCCCAGACCATACATTCTATATATAAAAACTGGAAAGCTACCAGTTTTGAATTTACTGTTTTTACAATATCACAAAAATGTATGCTTTTTATACACTATATGTCCCAAAGTATTCAGACACCCCTTCTAATTAGGAAATTCATCTACTTTAAGGTGCATCCATTGCTGACACAGGTGTACAACTGTGCACACAGTTTGTATAATCTGCATAGAAAAACATTGCCAATAGAATTGGATGCTCTGAAGCAGCCGCACTTGAGCATAAAGTGGCAGCTAGAGGGATATAAAGACTCCAGCCTCTGGGCTGCGAAGCAGTGGAACTGCAGTCTTTGGAATAAAGGAGCTTCATCCAATAACTTTGGCATGCATTGAAGTGGCATTTGTACTCCAGAAGTAATCATCCAACATCAGTACCTGACCTCAGCAATGGTCTTGTAGCTGAATGCACTCAAATCCTCATAGCAATAATCCAACATTTAGTGTAAAGTCTTCCCAGAGGAGTAAAGTCTGTTATTACAGCAAAGCAGGGTCAAACTCTCTACTAATACCCGTGGTTTCAGAAGAAACGCTGCATGAGCAGGTGTCTACAAACTTTTGGGCCAAAACTGTATGTCCGCTTATTCAGCTTATATAGTAATCTAGTCTGCTCATTCATGTAGGAGTTATAAGTAGTGTTTCAGCCCAAACTGCTGTATCAAAACTTCCTATTTCTTCTATTTGAACAGCATCTGTCCTTTGAAGAGAGATTGGAAAATGGTCACATAAATATGTCGCACCGTTTGGCCTCAAGGAAAATAATGTGATATCATGTTCCCTTTTAAGGAACAGTAGTCAATAATCAGAAGAAACACTGGCGCTTCATTTCTTCTACCTACAAAATCTCTCATAAGCAAATGTCATGATTCACTTTCTCTCTCCTGTCCTTATGGATCTATTTATTTTTCTCTTATAAAATAAAAATACTCATTGTTTGTTTGTTTGTTGTATTTGTCAGCTGGTTGGCAGCACAAAGAGGGAGAGAGGTGAATAGAGAGAGAGGGGGAGAGAGAGCAGGATAGAGAGCAAGAACCAGGTAAGAAAGTTGACAGTTAACATCAGTCAAGACCACATAGTTATAATGCCATGGCAGCTTCTGTTTCCTGCGCTCATATGCTGTTATCAAGTGTGGATTCTCCTCAACATCCTTCATTTATTTACGTCACTAATACTCCATTGGTTTGGCTTATTTATTAATATTTATTCTATTTATGTCATTTTGTAGTTGAATACAACATATCTGTGTATGATTGTCAGTGCAAAGGGGGAGAGACAAGGATGGAGCGGGAGGTGATCTTATTGGGTGCTCAGCACCCCTAAAGCTCTGATCCTAGAATTACCCCTGTGAATAATTATATAAAACTGCTATGACTTTAAAATGTAGATTTAGCTAGAGCATTGAACCAGTTTTTCCATGTACTGCTGCATGGTTACTATGGTAACTGGTATATAACACAGCAAACCCAAACTGTGTCATAATTACAGGACAATGTTGGTTCTCCTCCATATTGTGCTACAAATAACCTGAGAAGAAGAGCTTTGCTGATATGTCAGTGTAAATAGTCTTGAATCGACTCATTTCATCATTCTTCATCCTTGTACCGGGTTGCAAGAGAGACTTCAGAGGAATGAATGAGCATGGAAATTCCTTGTTTTCCTATTCTTCCCATGGGACCCATGTTCACTCAGGTCAGTAATTGCAGAGAATGCCTCCAAAATGCCTCACAATAGCACCTCAAAGTCACCTCAAGGTTAATCCAGTCACTGAGGCCATGTCTCAGACAGAATGTTCTGAGGGGTAGGTCCATAGATAAAGTATGAGGCATGTAAGAGTATTTAACAAAATACTACTTCTTTTGTCCCTTTACAGAAATTCAGGTCCACACTGGACCTAGTAGCAAAGAAAATGAAGCAGTAACATAACTAGGACTGGTTCCAGTGAGGAAAAAAAGTAAATGCCCCTGACCCCAATAAGACAATTATTCTTCAATGAATTAAAAAAATGACCTTGTAGTTTGCTTGCTTACTTGCTACTCTATGTCTCAACCAAGTTGATGCTCTAATGTAGGTTAATAGAAGTATATAAAGTTATTTTCACTACCCATGAGTCATATATGTAAAACTACACGAGCAGCGATGCAAGTGTTCTGATAAAGATACTAGAGGGCCCAGTCCTCATTCCCTCCCCGTGCTACGGGCCCCACTATGATTGGTTTGCCTGCATTGCCAGTAGTTACAGCACTGTGATGAATAGACCTTGAAAACCCAGCCACAACACAACGGAAATGCTTCCAAAGGACACTCAAAAGTGGATGTAGCCATTCCAATTCTTAAATTCTATGCAGCGCAAACATCATTTATGGGAAAAAGTTAGTTAACTTTTATTTGAGCATTTAACTAATATCACTGTATTGTAATGGGAGTTAGGTATAGAGTTTAACTGTAAAATTTCAAATAGCAATACGAAACATGACTGATAACTACCATACTATGACATGTCAGATAGCTAACTAACCAGCCATGTTAACAATGAACTTTGTGAAATGTCAGTCTCTATTGTCTCAACAACTTCTGTGAGTCATTTTCCATCACAGATATTCTGTCCCATTTGAGAGTCTTCCAGAAACATTTCCACTGTGTTGTGGCTCACTTCCATTGTGTTGTGACTGGCTTTGCAGCATTTATTAAGCTTTATGTTTTCTGTATTTGCAATGCATTTGTGAAAGATAGTTCAGGTGTAGTCTTGGGGAAGAAATTATTTTCTGAGTCAGCAGTGTGTTTCTAAAATGTAGCTCAGATGCAGTCATGTTGATGAAAAAAGAAATGTTTTCTGAATTTGCATCATGTTTATGAGTTTGCAACATATTTTTTATTGTACTGCGCATTGGATTTTTTTTTTGGCCACTGTAGTTTAGCATTGTAAAAGTGAAAAAAAGAATTAAAACAAAAAAAAGTAAAGATGTGTGAGACAGGCTAGGGGGGATTACTGACGGTTCATGGTCCATAACTTACACAGCAAAAATATTCTTACTCCTGAAACATTTACTGCATTTTTAAATATATGTAAAGCATCTTATCATTCATTTAATTTTGCTCTGAAATGTTAACAGGAGGAGGAAAGACATTTGTTTATTTTGTTATATTTTATATTCTACATAATTTTGGACCTTTTCTACCAGTCCATTCATCATAAACTATTCATGTACTATACATGCAAAGGGCTGCTAGCATTTTCAAATGGTGTAAAAAATAAAGACAGGAACATTGGAGTTACAAGTCTTTTACATGACAGCACCAATATAAAAGATGTACCAGAGGAGAACTGTTAATGTCTTACCATAAACATTGCTGGCTTAACCTGCTTCTACCAGTCTATTCTGTGTCCTCAGTGATCTTGGAGCCCCACCTACTTCCAACAAACACTTTCTGCTATGATAAATCAGTTTGCCTATAACACAATCAACCAATCACTGAGGTCCAATGTTATTCAGTCCTGTAAACCATATGTGGGATTAGGCTACATGATACTTGAGACTCAGATGGCAAATGTGAAATTTATTGTAAAAGATGGTTGCTGCTTTCACATTAAATTAATTGCAGGAAAGTAGCAATTCTGTATTTACTATTATGTAAAAAGTCCGGAATAATGTTTGAACATAAGTGGTCAGAAGTGCCTAAGTGAATGAAAATTTGCTCAAAAGCTATTTTTTAATCCATATTTTTTTCTTTAAATGTACACCTCAGGTTGAGAGAGACCCATGACCTCATCCCCCCATCTAGTTTGTCGATGTGACAAGTGAACAAAAATATAAAAAGGTAAAATATACTTTATTTTATTGTTTTGTTGTTGTCCATAAGATATTCAGACAGCTTTATGTGACGATGCTTCGCCGAACCCCGTTAGGAGACATGAAGTCACCGGGTAGTTTGTGACTGAATGGGTAGTGGAATGTAGTTGCAGGCTGAGGATGTGACGACTCTGGATGATTCTTTGCAATGAGTGAGATTTATTTACACGGTGAAACACACAAAAGAAAAACTGTACAAACACAAAGTAAATGGTAGGTAAAATGTTGCCCCAACTCGATCAGTACAGGTAAGTATAAATAGTCTCAGGCCGCAAGGCCACAGGACTATATTCTTTTTAGCTTAGCTCTTACTCCCTTCTTCTCAGTCTCCTCGCAGTCTGATGTGAGTATCCTCGAGCTAGCCCCCTACTAAACTCTTCCCCTGCCTCTTATAGGGTTAGCCCCACCCCTGCATCACCTGAGCTGAACCATTCCACTCTGCAGGGGTGTTGCTGTCCTATAAGAGTGGATTAAGAACAAGGGTGAATAAAATCATAATTACATCTCACAAGGTCTTGACGCATGAAATTACTGGTGGGACATTTCATACAGTGCGCGCATTGACTAGCCTGTCTCACTCTGTCTT